GGGGGGGGTTGCGTAGCATGATGCCCCCATCTGCTAATCTCCTAGGCCTTACTGAGGACCTGCCAGCTTTCTGTACTCTGTCCCAAACTCAGGAATGCAGACAGCAGAGTATAAGTTCAGTCAGTCTTAGTTGGCCTCTGTCAGCCTTAGTCAGTCTCAGTCAGCGTTGGTCAATCTCAGTCAGCCTTGGTCTGCATATAAAGAGACCTGGCACCAAAAAACCCTCAAGCTCCCCCACATTTCACTGACAGTCTACATGTCCTGCAGGTTAAGTGTGACCAGTACTGGCCAACCCGAGGCCCGGAGACCTATGGCATGATCCAGGTGACCATGCTGGATACGGTGGAGCTGGCCACCTACAGTGTACGCACCTTCGCCCTCTACAAGGTAGGAGTCCCGCCAGCCACAATCTGGGTAGGGCAGGACGGCTCCAGGCTCTTTAAATGCCCTGAAAGCAATATCACTCTAGGCCCAGTGTCCTGTGGGCATTAAAGTTCTAATACTGTACTTTCTCAAGTTATGCTTGAAAGCATTGAAGGACTTCTCCATGGTGCAGCAGGGATGTGGTGGTTAAGGACTTGGTTATAGTTCTCGAGTAAGGCGGGGAGGGGTCGTGGCTTTGCCTCTTGGCCGCTGTGCTTTATATCAGCCGTCTCAGTACACTTCCGGCTGTTTAAAATTGAAAGCCCAGTGCCTTTTGCAAAGTGCATAAATAATGTAAGTGTTGACGGCAGGAGGGAGGGATGGAAGGGGGCATGCTGCCTTGGACCCCTGTGGTCCCATCATCCGCTCCCACTGCATGCCTCATGTCGCTGCCACTAATGTGGAGTGATCCTGGCATACACACTTCACTCCCTGGGGCCCAAACACAGGCAGCAGCAGGCTCCTCTGTGCTAGTCCATTGTCCCTGAAAGCAAGTTGCTCTTCCACCTCCTCACATAGAATGGCTCCAGTGAGAAGAGGGAGGTCCGGCAATTTCAGTTTGTGGCCTGGCCAGACCACGGCGTTCCAGAGTACCCTACACCCATCCTGGCCTTCCTGCGCCGTGTCAAGTCATGCAACCCGCCAGATGCCGGCCCCATGGTGGTGCACTGCAGGTAGTCCTCTCTCCTTCACACAGGGAGATGTTGTACTGTAGTTCGGTGATGTACTCTGGTTGGAGAGAGTTGATGTCATGGTGTCTTTGCTCCCCCAGCGCTGGTGTGGGTCGCACAGGCTGCCTGATCGTCATCGAGGCCATGCTGGAACGCATGAAGCACGAGAAGAGCGTGGACATCTATGGCCACGTGACATGCATGCGTGCCCAGCGCAACTACATGGTGCAGACGGAGGACCAGTACATCTTCATTCATGAGGCGCTGCTGGAAGCTGCCACCTGCGGCAACACTGAAGTCCCCGCCCGCAACCTCTACTCCCACATCCAGAAGCTCACCCAGGTCTCGATTGGGGAGACAGTCACCGCCATGGAGCTGGAGTTCAAGGTAGGCGAGATATCCTCAGCCCCTGGGCTGGTTAGTTAGACCATGTGTGTTTAGAACTTTTGGTCTTTTTTATTTCACCGGCTAACCTCGCCCAGGCATAGACCATAATTAATGTGTTCACTTGCTTCCTATGTTATCAACAAACTCATAATTATTATTTTTTTATGAACTCTTCTGTGTATGGATCCTAACAGTAGGGGGCAGCATTGTGACTAATGAAATCAATTAAATTAAATCAGTTTATCAGTTTAGTTCTTGAACTGGTAGTGCTTAATGTAACTACATTTCTTTTTATCTCCATGTACGATAACTTAAAACAAATAAGTGTAATTAAGTGTTGCCAAAAGCAGTAAAGAGGAGTTCTAGCAGCATGGTCTGCGGCATGTTGTGTGGTGTGCAAAGGCAGATAGTGGGTGTAATCCTGATCGGAGAAGCAGCATGACTGCGTCGGCTCAGAAACCCCGCCTCTCTCTGGGGGAGGGACCGTGTCCGTGGAGAGGTTCTCCGAGGATGAGCGATCCATCCATCAGGCTAGGTGTGAGATGAGGGGGGAGGCTGGGGAGGCGGACAGCCCAGCAGATAAACCCCCCGGAGGTCTGGGGAAGGGGGGGGGGTGGTCAAGCTGTCACCCCATTGGCCTGTGCTGCAGTCCATCAACACACCACTATAATCCTTTCTGGACATAGAGGGGGTTTGCTCAACATCCAAAATTATAGGGATCAAATTTGTTTTGCATGATGGGTGAGTGTAAATCCAAAGAGAAAGGAGAACTGCCAGCAAACTACAGATCCAATTGACTAGCAGGGCTGTTTACGAGCAGGCTGCAGATCCGATTGGCTGGCCAGGCTGTGTAGGAGCAAGCTGCAGATACAATTGGCTGGCTGGGTTGTATAGGAGCAGGTTGCAGATCTGATTGGCTGGCCAGGCTGTGTAGGAGCAAGCTGCAGATGCAATTGGCTGGCTGGGTTGTATAGGAGCAGGTTGCAGATCTGATTGGCTGGCTGGGCTGTATAGAAGCAGGCTGCAGATCCGATTAGCTGGCCTTTTTTGATGTCATCAGCCATGCACTTTTGCTATAGTACAATCACGTTTTGGCCCAGGCAGCAGGCATGTGCGTATCGCAGTGTGTCTGAGGGGTATGTGAAAGGCCCAAGAACTAAACCGCCTGCCCACATGTGCGTGTCGACTGTGTCCGCTTAGCCAGAATCCATTTTCTAATGACGCAGTGTTGTAAACCAATGAGTGCAGGATTTCGTGGCAAGGTAGAGCTCTGGGTTTTAGCCGGAGTGGTGGGTGACATTCGAGCTCTGAGGATCGTATACAAAGTTCGGAATAATCGCCCAAGCCGCCGCCAAACCCCCCCCCTCCCAGGTCAGCGCTAAATCTCACCTGGCTGTGTCCTGCTCGCCCCCACAGAGACTGGCCAACTCCAAAGCACACACCTCCAGGTTCATCAGTGCAAACCTTCCCTGCAACAAGTTCAAGAACCGGCTGGTGAACATCATGCCGTTTGAGTCGACTCGGGTGTGCCTGCAGCCCATTCGCGGGGTGGAGGGCTCCGACTACATCAATGCCAGCTACATCGACGGTTACAGGTATGGTGCGGGGGTGGGCTGGGGTGAAGGCATCAGATGGCAGCTAATTGAATACGCTGATTAACTGCGCTATGTTAGCAGTTAGGGATATCTTGGTGCCTCCGGTGACCAGCGACGGGCTCTGTCTGCTCCACACCATGGTTCTACCAAACCGCCAGATGGGGCCACTTTCTCACAGGGGGGCAGTTTTCATTGTCCAGGGCAAAATGAAACGTCTAATAGCCCCAAATACAGCGAGCTGCCTCCCAGCCACATAAAGGGCCGCTGCTCCACACCGAATGCAAAAGAGCCAGTCCTGACCCCCCCCCCCCCCCTTTTATTAAAACGTGAGCACCTAAGGGGCCCCAGTGCAGCAATAGTTTAATCACCTGCTTCATACATGGATGATGCCCCCCCTCCTGCCTCCTGCATCATACTCCTCAGCACAGGAAACCCCTACCCCCTTCCCTCCCCCATGTGTTCCAGTTAATGACATATATCTCACCCACAAATCTTTCCGAACCGAGATGTTTGGTGGCCCAGCTTTGGGTTCTGTCTGAAACTCCACTGCACTTTCAGGCACGGTAATTAGTGGAGAAGGACGGAGGCGGACCGGGTCCTCCCTGGCAGACCTCCCATCTGGCCGTCTGTGCGCCTGCGTGTTTGCACGCAGCCGTCCGTGCTCTGCATCACATAACACGCAGGCAGACCTGCGCAGTAACGGGGTCAGGCATTTTTAAAGGGAGGCGAGGAAAAAGTAAAAAATGGGGGGAGATAATCCTCCAGCATTTCCTGATGGCTGCTCGTGGTCCTTCAGCGCTGGAGAGTTATTAGCCCGTGCTGACAGGCAGCGGGCGGAGCAGACTTGCTGGTGCCGCTTTGTGCTGAGAAGGCCCCACAGCTACCTTTAATCTCCAGGCTGCACGTTGGCCGCCCCGCAGCACCTTCATTAAGGTTCCTTCACTGCCTTACCGAGGAGAAGAGCAACCGTTCTTCTCTTCTGTGGGGACACACTTCCCTCTGGTGGCAGCGACTAGAAACTGCACTTGGCATCAGGAAAAGGGGAGGGCGTGGTGGAATGTGTTGGTCCAGGAAATGCTATTTCAGAGCTTTAGTGCAGCTTCGGTTGTAAAATGCACCATACTGTGTTGGCTCTCAGCAAAGGGCATCTGTTCACGCTGTGGGCTGTGTAGTGATTATGAATATGGTATTGGAACATGAAGGTTGATGGTTCAAGTCCAAGTAGGGGTGTTGCTGTTGAACCCCAAGCCATCATCTCTTGCCAGGGAGGACTGAAAGGCCTCCATTCCCTGACTCTGCCATTCCCTGCATCTTCAGGCAGCAGAAGGCCTACATCGCCACACAGGGCCCCCTGGCAGAGACCACTGAGGACTTCTGGAGGATGCTTTGGGAGCACAATTCCACCATCGTGGTGATGTTGACCAAGCTGAGGGAGATGGGCCGAGTAAGATCTGGCAGGGTCATGGACATTCTGCAATTATGATATTAATATTTAACACACACTAGCTCATTGCTAATGGTCAGTGCTCACGCTGGCTCAGTGCTAACGGTCAGTGCTCACATTAGCTCAGTGCTAACAGTCGGTGTTCACGCTAGCTCAGTGCTAATAGTCAGTGCTCACACTAGCTCAGTGCTAATAGTCAGTGCTCACACTAGCTCAGTGCTAATAGTCAGTGCTCACACTAGCTCAGTGCTAATGGTCATGCTCACGCAAGCTCAGTGCTAATGGTTATGCACACGTTAGCTCTGTGCTAACGGTCGGTGCTCACACTAGCTCAGTATTAACGGTCAGTGCTCACGCTGGCTCAGTGCTAATGGTCGGTGCTCACACTTGCACATTGTTAATGGACAGTGCTCACGCCAGCTCAGTGCTAACACTCGGTGCCCACGCTAGCACATTGTTAATGGTCAGTGCTCACACTAGCTCAGTGCTAATGGTCATGCTCACGCTAGCTCAGTGCTAATGGTCGATGCTCACATTAGTTCAGTGCTAATGGTCATACTCACGCTAGCTTAGTGCTAATGGTCGGTGCTCACGCTAACTCAGCGCTAATAATCATTCTCATGCTAGCTCAGTGCTAATAGTTGGTGCTCACACAATTCCAGCATCGTGGTGATGTTGGCCAAGCTGAGGGAGATGGCTCGAGTGAGTGGATCTGGCAGGGTTATGGCCATTCTGCAATCATGATATTTATATTTAACTTACAATAGCTCATTGTTTATGGTCAGTGCTCACACTAGCTCAGTGCTAATGGTCATGCTCATATTTGTTCAGTGCTAATACTTCAAACATGTGTTACTACATGGTAAACTGTACTGATGTGTGGCAGAGAAATGCTCATTGTTCATCCCACTTTGTGCTCTTGCAGGAGAAGTGCCATCAGTACTGGCCCGCAGAGCGCTCTGCCCGCTACCAATACTTCGTGGTGGACCCCATGGCAGAGTACAACATGCCCCAGTACATCCTGAGAGAGTTCAAGGTCACTGATGCCAGGGTAGGTGGTGCCAGAGCCTCCCTTCCTGCTGGTGTCCGTATGTGTACGCCGACGCCGTTTAGCTACTTGGAAGCGTTGCATTTTCCCATAGTATGTAGTGAGCATGACATCAGTGTGTTTTGATTAGCGGTAGGCGGCTCAGTTCTTTTCCACAGGAAACTGGGTTCCACTCCACCTAGATCAGGCAGCGGCTCCTTTAGCTTTACGGAGTGAGTTATGCAGCAGCCCGGCTCAGTGGGACGCCCTTGCCTGTGTGTGACTGCTGCATGTATCTCTTGGGAATATGATGGCGGTTCCTGTTCTTAGATGCAGGTTCTTCACCGGCGCAGGTTCCCTGTCGACGAGCTGCCATTTTGTTTGGTATTTAAACAAAAGATCAGCCTGACATTTTCTCCTCCTGGCTACATTTATTCTTTGCCTTCTGCCCCTGTGGTTATTTCCCAGATTTTGGCAGCATTTGGGAGGCCGAATGGGCAGCAGGCGAGCCGGAAGGCACCGGAAAGCTGGCCATAAGCCTTACATAAAGAGATGGTTCACTTAAGACTTTCTGTAGCATGAGATGGGATACAATTAAAGCGTCATCCTCCCGAAAGTCAGCAATCCAGGCATTAGCGCTTAGCCTTTTATGGGGATCAGGAGCCTTCCGAAGTGGGTGTTGATGCAGTCTCACACTCTACATTCCCATTGGCTCATCAGGATGGCCAGTCCAGGACCATCCGGCAGTTCCAGTTCACCGATTGGCCTGAACAGGGCGTGCCAAAAACCGGGGAGGGCTTCATCGATTTCATTGGCCAAGTGCACAAAACCAAGGAGCAGTTTGGGCAGGATGGACCAATCACTGTGCACTGCAGGTAATGTACTGAGAGCCACACTGTTAAACACCTCACTGTGTCACTGCTAGGTGCTGCCAAGTAGGAAGGGCATTTTATGCCATGTTTTATGGTTCAATTTATGAGAAACTTCATGTTTATCATTTTAGCTAACAGACTACAGCAGAAATCCAGTAATTCTGTATATTAAGTATAAAAACGCCAATTGTAATGTTGATATAAAGCGATGGCGTTTAGGGGAGTCGGGTTGTGTGTTGGGTTGTGTGTGCATATTGTGTTCAGTGCTTAACACGTGTCCTTGCTGTACGCAGTGCCGGTGTGGGCAGGACTGGTGTCTTCATCACCCTGAGCATCGTGCTAGAGAGGATGAGGTACGAGGGCGTGGTCGACCTCTTCCAGACGGTGAAGACACTACGGACCCAGCGGCCAGCCATGGTGCAAACAGAGGTATGCTGTGTGTTGGGGCTTGGGCCGTGGGGCTTGGGGCGTGGGGCGTGGGGCGTGGTCCGGGTGGTGGGTGTGGGCATGACGTGGGCATGGTCATATGTGAAAGGTGGTAGGGCAGTCAAGCCAAACATGGCTGCCCATCTCCATGATGCTGATACTCAACTCCTCCTCCTTTGCACCAGGACCAGTACCAGCTGTGCTACAGGGCAGCTCTGGAGTACCTGGGCAGCTTTGACCACTATGCAACGTAACCACTCCTGGAAAGCCCCGGAATCCCTTCAGGAGTGCCAAGTGTTCCTTCTGAGCCATTTCCACCCACCTGATTCTGTACAGAGCTGCCAGAGGGGAGAGGGGGATGGGCATGCGGCGGACAGGACTGGCCAGCCGTCAATCAAGGTGGTCCGCCCCCCCCCCCGGCTGGCACAGAGCTTTAAAAGAAAAAAAAAAACCTCCACAGAATCCAACAGCTGTGAGTGGCAGGCTGGCATGAACAGAACATGTGACATCCCTCCCTTTCCTGTCCTTATTCAAAACGGCAAACCGTGATTTTGTTTTTTTTAATTATCATTATCGTTTATATTATCATCATTGAAATAATATTTAGATTCATGTTTTTTATAATCATTTAATATTTGTTATTTTCTTTATTCTTAACTTCCTGTCTGCGTTTCTTTTTACTTTTTCCTTCATCTCTGTAGGTTATTTTAGCATAAGGGACATGTATTTTAAACACGTCCCTGGATACTAATACTGGAGAAACCACTGTTTCCTAAGCTGCTGTCAGTTTCATTTTATTTTATTTTTACCATGATTTTATTACTCTCATTCTTATTTTTCTTGTGTGTAATTTGATCTTATCCATTGGAATGGGGGATAACTTTTATAAGTCTTTTCACTTCCAGGTACTTTATAAAAAAAAAGAGATGAATATTAGAAAACAAATAAAATCATGCCAGAGGTCTAGTGGTACTATATAAATCCATTAGGAAAAGAAAAGTGAATTAACTGAAGATATCAGCTGTGTACAGATCCTAACTTCGTTCTCAATAGCTGTTAACTGTGATTTCATGAGCAAACATGGCTTACAGAGGAGCTACCCCCCCCCTCTCCGAGCAACAGCGATGAATGGAGCAGAGCAGGGGGCCCGAAACACATCGAAAGCCCTGAACGCCTTCTGCTCCTGCCCTTTAGCCCGCAGTATGGCTTATTACCAAATTTCGCTGCTTTAGGTGGTTGGGGGGGGAGTGGGCAGGATAGAGAGGCACGTTAGGGACTGAAGCACAAACAAATAACATCCACCTGTACAGCTAAAGGTCATCCAGCAGGGGGCAAGAGAAGCCTTGCAACCCGCAGATAGGCCTGGTATTATTTTTATAAATATATAAATATATACATGCATATATACATTTGTTGCTATCCTGCAACGACATTAAAAGTTGATGAATATTCCACTCAGTAATCTTTGATTCTCTCAGAAAATCTCAGCAGATGTGGGATCACGGCAAAAGAGAGAGAATGATTTTTCTCTCCGCTAGTCTGTGTTAAAGGTGAAATGTTCTAACTCACATCACGCCACCCGCCGACCCTGGAGGGCCACGCCTACAGACGGAGCAGCCAATGGGCAGCCAACACACGGTGGAGGAATTCTACGTGTAATCAACAGTGCATTTTGAGATGAGGGACTGAAATATCTATGAACCTTTCATTTCTACCTTGTGTATGCATAGTGCTGTAGGGTTCAATCTGTTGTATACACAGTCTGTTTTCTATTTGTTAATAAAAACGAAAAACGGTGCAAAAAAACTCCTTGATGTTAATAAAGTTGAATAATTGGGTTTTGTACAACGTTTTTGTCACAGCTCTGTCCTGCCCAGTGTTTCCACACTTACCATCCCGCAATTCCGGCTGGGTCTATTTGGGATCGTATCCTCAGTGATTCAGCCCATGTCTCCGTTGTTAAAGGCTGCTAGTTAAGTGTCATGCTGTGGGTGTGACCTGAGGATCATGAGGGAGTGGCCTGAGAGATTCATTATGAAATGTGGGTGTGGCCATAAAACGCTCTTTTCATAGTGTGGGAGTGGTCAGGGAAGCTGCTTATGTAGTGTGGGAGTGGTCAGAGAAGCTCTTTATGTAGTGTGGGAGTGGTCAGGGAAGCTGCTTACGTAGTATGGGAGTGGTCAGGGAAGCTGCTTACAGGGTACCCGCGGTCATGGAAAACCTGGAAAAGTTTTGGAATTTTGAAATAATTTTTCCAGGTCCTGGATAAGTATTGGAATTCTTTGATAGAGAGGAAAAGTTATGGAAAAGTTTTCGTTCCGCAACGCGCTAACAGAAATGTACGAGTGGAATTCAATAGTTAACTACCTTGGTAAATATCCGTTTCTGCGCAGATTTCGCGTGTTTGAGATTGCTGCTTTTTTGCTCGTTATTCCAATTTTTATGGTTTTATTTTTTTTGCACGTATTTAAATTTTATTGATCAATTTCCCGTTTTTGACTTCGTTTGCCTCTACCAATCATCAGGTACGTATAATTTTAATATTGGGATTAATTTTCTTAATTGAACGCTATTTGCACATTGGCGAAAGTTGTCCACCGTCTGTGTTTATTTGGTAAGCAGATTGGCTATTATCGTACCGAAAATTGTAGTATTACTGTCGTGCCGTATGCAGGACGCGGAGCAGAGACAGAGGAGCGGTGGTCAGGAAATCGGGGAACACGGGGTTTAATAAAAAGGGCAGGCAAGAAAACACGCAGTGAAACAAACTGAAACGCGGACTAAATACAGAGGACTAATGACAACAACCAGAAACAGCTGATCACACGGGGATTCCACACGAGGTTAACGAGGGGGCATGGCACACTGAAGGAGCGGGCGATTGGGGCAGGCCTGAGAGATTCATTATGAAATTTGGGTGTGGCCATAAAACTCTTTTCGTAGTGTGGGAGTGGTCAGGGAAGCTGCTTACATAGTGTGGGAGTGGTCAGGAAAGCTCTTAGCATATCATGAGCACTTGGCTAACAAGCTCAGATGCTGAGCATTAAAATGCTAATTGTTTTAGACACAAAAGAGAAGTTGAAGCAAATGAACCAGCAAATGCATGTAGATTCAGGTCTTTAAAGCTGCAAAATGACCAAGGAGAGTCATTGGCACTACTACCTCTCAGTGGGCAAACTCACTCTGCAGGACCAGAAACATGCTACTCCGTGGGTCTTACTCCCCCTCACATATTCACCACCCCTCAGTTTCTGTTCTTCCTTTCCTGACTCTAAACATCAGGGACATCGCTGTCAGTTCACTGGACACACGGCATCATTTTGGTGCTCCTGATGTTTCTTCCCCAGTCACTTCACTTACATTACATTGCTTTTAATTATCGCCATCTTTTTTGCGTAATGAATCGTATGTGGTGAACTAGTGAGCTCAACTTTCTGAATCTAAAAGCACAAGCTCTTTAGTCTGATGTGCCCAAACATCACCGTACTGTGAAAGACCTTCTTGGTCAACAAAAGCCAACTTCTTGGAAAGAGCCCTCTGAATTCTCCACTTGGTGCATTGGCTTGTTAGCATTCCACACAGTTCAGCTGTGGCATTAATAACGATTGTTTCCTCGCAATGCAAATTGAAAGTGTGTCTTTCCACTCTTCATTACCTAAGGTCAGAAACCATTTTATCATATGATCTTTGTTTTGAGACACCAATAAAGCTTTACGAGCACGCTTAAAATTTGTCGTGCCTGGCTTTTCCTGCTATCTGAAGTGGAGGTAGTGCAGGGTGAGTTAACAGTTGGCCACCTGCCTAGATGCAGTGAGGGTAATAGGTCTCAAATACTCTATTCTGAACACATTCCTGGAGGATTCCTGAAACCACACAAATTGCTATATAAAGTAATGATAACTGTTCCTAATTACTTTTTATAGTTGTGGTGATGTATTTAAAAAGCTGAAAATTTTAAATCAATGGAAAGTATATTTTCTAGTATACAGAAGCATTCCCCTGTAAGTGTGAAGAACTGTGAAAGTAATATTCAAGATGAGAAGGTATTTCGAAGCGCACTGGTGTGTTTCTTACTGTGCAGGCAGTGAATCTCTGGGTCACCCTTAAACAGCACAAAAGTCAGGGACCACCCTGCACAAGATGCCAGCTACAGGTGCCATTTTCCAAACAGTAAACTCCAAAGCTTTTAATTAAAAAGTGAAATCACCTCCACTGCTTATTTGTCATCGATACAACTGATACACCACTAATACAATGAACGATTTATGTTGCATATTTTATTCTGTATTATATGTATTATTGAATTTGGATTTAACGATCTCTGTAAATATTATGTAAAATTTTAATATGAAACTGAGTTTCAGAAACTGGTTCTTCTAAAGATAAAAAATAAAGTTAAATAATTTCATAATTACCCTTGGCCTAAATCACTCCCGGCAAAATATCCGGTTTTACAAATTAGTTATTTAAAAATTATTTTTATGAATATCGGCTGCCCCTTGAGACGCACAGCTCCCTCGCTCCCAGATCTTCATTCCTCTTTCATTAAATGTTTTTTTTTTTGTTTTAAGAGAACGCGGCCGCGCAGCGCACTAACGCAAAATGGCTGCAGTCGCTGCAGCCCTGCGGCTGTGCAGAAATGCACGTAACCACTCCGGTCACACGGGAGTGTCGCAGAGGGGGACCCAGTGCGTGCTATACCGTTTTCGGTAACCCACTGCATTCGCTCGTATTTCTGTAAACACTCGCATGTTGGCTATTATATTATATATATTATAAGAAGGGAAAGTAGGCCATTCCTATACTGCGGACTTTAATGGGCTACGGCGATATTACGGGGTACGTAAGGTGGGCTTTGGGTTCGGGCAGGGCACAGCCCAGCGTTCGGCATAGCCGATCCGCCGCCGATTGGGTGAGAGCTACCCGAGGCGAGCCGAAGCCGTGTGCGGTAAACAAACGCGCAGTGCGCATGCGCACTCGCGATAGCAAAATGGTGGACGACTGTACTTCTCAGTACTGAGAAGAAGAATCGGTATCTTTATTGAGGTTCTGGAGATAAGACGCGCTCGCCACTATTTGTTTTGCCGCTGTCTGTGAGTATACCCGTTTGGGTTGGGGCCTGGGAGCGGAGTTTTATCTGTGTTTTTTTCAGTTTCTCTTTGATTTTAGGCGCTGCTTGGTATTACGGGTAGGCAGTCTGATGGCTACCCACTTCTCTTTTCGTTTCCATTTTGTGTTTAATCTTAATTTATAACTGCCTGTGTTGTCTCAGTTTACGTTTGACGGTAAACCGTCCGAAGTGCGCCTCGGTCATATAAGTATTCTGCAATACATATAACTGCGAAGTTAGTCAATCGGCTACGCTGCTAACTAGTATTTATATTGTGGAGTGGAGCTGGGCCTCCACGGCTTTTTAAAAGGACGCGGAGAGCAGCCAATCAGACGCCGAGGCGCCCTGGCCACGGGTGGTCACGTGTGCCCGGCGGGCTCGTGGAACAGGACGGACTGGATCGGGGAGGACAAAGCGGTGTCCGCGGCTGGCACCGCCCCCTGCGCATGTCGGCCGGACGCGAGTGACACGGGGATTGTTTGGGTCCCACTTTATCCGCGCACACTTTGCAGTATTCCGTATGACGTCTGATCAATAAGCAATGGCGTAACTTTGGCTGGAACATTGATGGTTGAGGTCTACTCCCATTAGGGGGGAAACATGATTATCGGGGGGGTTATATTAGTTGGTTTTGATTTATTTGGGGGGGGGCTACAAAACCTCCGTAATTTACGCCCATGTCAATAAGTATAAAAGTTATCCTGCTGTACAAAAGCTCCTTTTAATGATTTTACTGTGAGACGTGGTAAGATAAACGGATCCATCTATCCTTATAAAACACTAATCCTACATAACATTTTACTACAGTCTACTCTACTGTGTGTGAATTATGCGTCTCCTAAATGGCCGATAGCGAGTTATTAGTCTATAAGTTTCTGGGAAGCAGCATTAGTTATGATAGGAGGAAACTTACGTGCCGTCTGAGTAACTCTGGCATAGTCTGATCATCGGTTCTGTCTTCGGGATGTGGATGACAAATTGCTGCCACCCACTTAGCGGTTTGGGTCTGGGCATGTAATGACGTGTGTGAATTAAATGCACCCGAACAGCAGAGGGAGTGATGCTTTTATGCTTATTTTTCTTTTTTTTTCTTTCTTTCTTTTTTTTTTTTTAAAAAAAAACAACTGAATTTTAACCTGTTAGCTTTTTTATAGTCAGCACAAGTTGGTTAATTTGAGTAGCCTAAAAAGCAATTGCAGTGAATATCTGCATTTTTCTGTGTTCAGAGATAAAGCATTCAGCCACAATGACTTCAGAGCCTGGATCTCAGAATCCCAGCTCCAAGAGCATCATGACATTCTATCCCACCAAAGAGGAGTTCAAGAACTTCAGCCGGTACATCGCCTACATGGAGGCTCAGGGGGCTCACAAGGCTGGTCTGGCCAAGGTAGGTGACCCTCTATGACCCGACGATTGGCCTGGAGACTTTAATAAGAGGACATTTATGGGGCGTGCTTTGCGTGTCCTCTTCTGGGTACTGTGGCATTAAGGGAACATGGCCTTAAACATTAATGATGCTCACGGGGCTCTGTGTCTCCCTTACTGCCTCTGCACACTCGGAGATCAGGGCACGCGGCCTGCCGGATGCAGAAGTCAGTCACTCCTTTTTTATTTATAAAGCACAACTCAAGTTTACCAAAGTGCTGTGCATTGTTTGCAAATAAGTAAAGCAATACAAGCACTAGGGGTGCAACGATTATTCGACATTGTCGACAAAAATCGACAATAAAAATAGTCGCCGCCGAATTTGATTGTCGATAATTGTCGCCAGACGTATTTTTAAACGGAGTGAGACGTTTTCCTTCCTTTATACTTGTGCAATACTACCGCTTTCCAATAGACTGCACCAATACACCACACATGTGAGATTCGCTCTTGCGCAATAGCATTCAGCAACAGGTAGAAGAATGGTGGCCACAAATCAGGCATCGTCGCATATTAAACGCTCTAAAGTCTCAAAGGCTTTTATGTCCGAAAACAAAGACGAGATCTACAAAAGGGTGAATAGCACAGACTTCTTGTTGTCTGGCGTATCTAATAATAAATAATAATAATAATAATAATAAATAATTATAACAACAACAATAATAATAGGGCATAATAATAGGCTAGTAGTAGTATATTTTACATTTTCAAAAAAGATCAGAATAGAACATATTTTTGTTTGGAAGTCGGTGGTGTGTCATGAAGTGTCTCATTCGCTAAAAATTTAGCTAATAAAGGTCAGAAAACAGTGTAGAAAACCCATTGCTTAAATAAAGAAGGCAAAACTCTGAAGCTCAAGATTCAGGAGAGTGGCTCCGATGTCGCAAGTGCTGCGAGAGCTTATGCTCCCTTAAAAATAAATAACAGCAGTTTAAGTCCGTTTTCTTGCTGTTAACAGAGGAATGGCAATGGGAAGCTGCTCTAAATTTCCCGTATTTTGGGTCAGGATCTTGGGATTTTTCAGCCTGCTTTAAAATGAGTTTTTATTTGTAAACATAGGCTATATAAATAGCTGATATGACAAGAAATTACCGTGCATTTTAACCCCTATACCGCAAATGAAGTACGAATTAGCATATACAGGTTAAAATGCATGATAATTTCTTGTCATATCAGCACAAATGCACATAAAATACGTATTTGCACTGTCACAGCAAAAGATTGCCGCACGTATCGCTTATAAAAGTTGAATGCGTACTTGCGTACCAGTTATATGCAGCCCTGATTATAACAAATATTGTATCAGAAATTCGGATCGGTGCCGATCCAGACCTATTTGACAGATCGGGTATCAGCCATGTGTGACCAATCCACACCCTATACTTACTTATTTAGTTTTTGGCAATCTCTAAAAAGAAACCTCCCATTTCGTGTTAAATCTATTTGCACAATCAATCGCACGACAGCTCTTTCCCATTTTTTACATGTGTTGTTTTGCGGCATTGATGTCGAACAATAACCTCATGCTAAATGTAAAAGCTGGTAGCTAAATAGGAGCCATTTTATAATTATGCAATTTATAATCCGATTAGTCGACTAATCGTTTTAATAGTCGATGACTAGTCGACTATCAAAATAGTCGTTAGTTGCAGCCCTAACAAGCACAAGACATAGTCACAGAATAATAGTGCCCAGCCAATGACAGCTCCATAGGTAAGGCAGAGATGAAAACAAACAACAGAATTGTTAATCTGGAATAAATGCCAGTCTGAGCGAGTGGGTTTTTAGTTGAGATTTAAGAAGAGTAATTGATGGGGAGTGCCTGATGTTAAAAGTGTATTTGCTGAACGGGCGCCGTTATCCTTCAGCTTCAGTCGGGCTTATGGACTAAATAGCAAGAGCTTATCAGATGTCCTTAGCTGCCTGGGAAGAGTATGATGATGGAGCAAATCAGTGACATTGGGGGGGGGGGGAGCAGCTCGTTTAATGCTATATAAACAAGTAATAGATTTTTAAACTGGATCCTGTGTTGGATTGGAAGCCAGTGTAATGAAACCAGGTGTAATGTGGTCCCTCTTTTTTAGCCCTGCTTGCTGGTCTTTGTGTTTCCACGATTGCTGACTCCTACCTAAAGTGAATTAGAGTAACCTATGGCGGTCACATGACCTGCGATTACATCTGCGGAGCCGGCTGTGCGGTTAGGCAGCGCGCCTCCGCCGCGTGGCTTCCCGGGGCGAGCAGGTGCACGGCACTCCATGACGCTCTGCAGCGCTGTGCTATGCATCGCCCCACAGTGCACCTTCTCCTGCACCACGGGCCACTGTGCACTTTTGACGTGGCGCTTGTGTCTCACGGAGAGGGGACCATGCATGTGCTCTTTATTTAATGGTGATATTGCAGGCCATTACCCAAATTAAGTGCTCATCCTCTCGCTGGTGTACTGCTGTGTCTTCCCTCAGCCCTCATAGTCCTGTCGGTTAATCTGAGTGCCGCCTCTTTCAGTTTCTGTTTCCTTTGGTTTAAGCTCTGAAACCTCTGAAATCTTGATATGCATCTTAAGTGGCATCCCTGTGTATCAGTATGATGGGAGCCTTTCTCTGGTTTAGATTATTCCCCCGAAGGACTGGAAGCCCCGGCAGTCCTACGATGACATTGATGACCTGGTGATCCCAGCCCCCATCCAGCAGGTGGTGACAGGCCAGTCAGGCCTCTTCACCCAGTACAACATCCAGAAGAAGCCGATGACCGTGCGCGAGTTCCGCAAGACCGCTAACAGTGACAAGTAAGCAGAGAGCGTCCAGCCCATCGTCACACAGCCTCACCCTGCTCTCTGCCCCTCTGCACTTTGACTGCCGTTATTTCGGGGCTTATTGCAGACGCCCATTTTGCCCCTGTCCTATACGTCTGCCCATCATCGCTCTGCCTAGCAGGGATTGCTTGCCTTAGCATCTGTGTCTGAGCGTTACAAGCTTGTTGGCACAAACAGGCCCTCAGTCACCCACCATGATTCTTCTGCAAACACGCTTCAGGTTCTGCAGCCCTCGCTATGTGGATTTTGACGAGCTGGAACGGAAGTACTGGAAGAACCTGACCTTTAACCCCCCTATTTATGGGGCAGATGTGAACGGCACGCTCTATGACCCGGTAAGGGATGCTGGGGCTGTTCTTGGGGGCGGGGGGGTTGGGGGGTAGAGGACACATACTTTGCTTAGACCTGAACTAATCATATCAGTGCAGGCTGAATTCTTGAAAATAGAAACCTGACTATTTTGCTAATCAGAAGTACAGTGGTACCTCAGAACTCGAACTTAATCCGTTCAGAACTCCGGATCGAATCCTAAAAAGTTCAAGTTCTGATCGAATTCCATAAAAAACAATGGAAAACCAATTAACCCCACAAAACTACACCTAAATGTTTTTTTTTTTTTTTTTTTTTTAAGCAGCATTTAAACACAAAATGAACCGGATAAAATAAGAGCATATGCTGTACTAAACACATCTAAGCACATTTATTAAAACAGTAATTTGTAAAGTAAGAAAATAATGTATCCAAGCAATGTGTAAAGTTAAAAAAAACAATGTGTCCTGCCCCGATCGTCCGCTCCTTCCGTGTGCCATGCCCCCTCGTTAACCCCGTGCGGAATCCCTGTGCGGAATCCCCGTGATCAGTTCCAGGTAATTTTTTTTCGAATTGGTTGGTTCGACTTTTAAGAAATTCAAGTTCTAATGAGTTTGAGAACCGAGGTACCACTTTATATGTTACTTTGTTCAGTGAGTTCTCTTATTTAAGGAAGTGGTGAGGCTTGGCAATAAGCAGAGACTGTCTGTACCCATCTTACTGTGTCAGGACGTGACAGAATGGAACATCGGCCACCTGAACACCATCTTGGACATGGTGGAGCGAGAGAGTGGCATCACCATCGAGGGTGTGAACACGCCCTACCTGTACTTCGGTATGTGGAAGACCACCTTCGCTTGGCACACAGAAGACATGGACCTCTACAGCATCAACTACCTGCACTTCGGGGAGCCCAAGTCCTGGTACCCAGTGATGTTATTTTTAACAGTTTGAGCTAATGTTACAGCAGATCCATACAGAGATCTCGTGCAAAGGCCGGTGTCCAATCGCTTACAGGACTGTCTCTTCCTGTTTTCTCGTTTCTTTAGCATTAAAGGTCATGTCTGTGTGCCTTTTTAATGAAGGTCATCTTTGTATCTGTCTCCATGAATAAAGTGTAAAAGCATTTCTGCTGATGGTCTTCTAATTGTAGTCATGGCGACTCGTACATTTACACCCCACAGGTACTCTGTCCCCCCAGAGCACGGCAAACGACTTGAGCGTCTAGCTAAAGGTGAGACGCGCATCGCAGAAGCTCCAGCCGCCGTGCCGCCCTGCCGGCGTGATGGAAAGCGAAGCCTCGCGTCTTTAACACCAGCTATGCTCTCACCAACAGGATTTTTCCCCGGGAGCTCCCAGAACTGCGAGGCATTTCTCCGGCACAAGATGACATTGATCTCGCCATCCATCCTCAGGAAGTACGGCATTCCCTTTGAAAAGGTGAGCCGGGCTTAGCCAGGATGTCCTCCTTCCTGCTTGTCGGCTTAAACACTGGAGCGGCCGAGTCTCACAGCATGGCGACTGGTGTGTCCTCCTCAGATGACGCAGGAGGCTGGCCAGTTCGTGGTCACCTTTCCCTATAGCTACCACGCTGGCTTCAACCATGGCTTCAACTGCGCCGAGTCCACCAACTTCGCCACGCAGCGCTGGATCGAGTATGGGAAGCAGGCTATTCTGGTAAGCGCCGTGCCCATCCTGCACTGCGTTTCCTGCCTCTTCCCTCATCAGTTTGTTTTTATTTGACTTTTTAAACAAAGCCGCATCAAGTTGCTCAGTTGGAGCGTGTTGGGACCCTTGCTGTTAACCTCTGGGTTGAATCTCAGCGATTTCCCGTTTGCCGCACAGTGCTCCTGCAGGAAGGACATGGTGAAGATCTCCATGGACGTGTTCGTGCGCAAGTTCCAGCCCGAGCGCTACAAGCAGTGGAAGGCCGGCAAGGATGTCGTGTCCATCGACCACTCCAAGCCGACACCGGAAGCGGCGGAGTTCCTGGGTGGCGAGGGCCAGGCTGGTGGCAGGGCCCAGTACGCAGGAGAGGGTGGCGGCGCAGAGGAGGAGACCAAGAGGTCTGTCTCAAGAAGCCTCATCTTCTGTCAGATCTCTACCAGTCTTGACGAGGCCTTTTTCTAGATGAGAGGACTCATTCCCTCAGCGACTGCCCATGTAATATGGGTGTTTGGCCTAGAATCGCGCAATTTGAGGCCAGTCACATAGATTTCCTTTTTTTACTCCTCTCACTTGTCTTTGATGTTTGTGGCTGTAGACCTCTGCCAACAGCAGGCTGAGCTGAGCTATAAAAGCATGGTTATAATCTCCCCGAAATGGGTGGTTAAGGCTGCACGCCTTTTATGCCTGGGGCAGCGGACATGCCACCCGCTCCAGCCGTTCTCTGAAGCTCTGAGGCTTGCCTTTGTTCACATCTCCCTTCTTTGCCCTTTCTCTTCATGCTCAGCCTCTCCAAGCAGAGGATAGGGACCAAGCGACACAGGGTGTGCTTGGAGGTCCCCGAGGAAGTTCTCCAGAGGGAGCAGGGCGTGGAACACGAGGGCAAACGGCTCCGCCTGTCACCCGCCGCTGGGGGCCAGGTGTCGCAGGAAGGTGAGGGAGCCAGACGCTCGCCTTGCTGCCCTGTACTGTTACTGTTAAGCTGTAACTGTGAACAATAGCATTGTTTCACTATTATATTATTTTCCAAAGTGATGTTAGGACTTGCATGTTGTTTTCCGTAGGCTTTTCTGATTGGCTGTAGCAGTCTCCATGTTTGAGCCAATCAGGGGCTGGCGGGTAGTGACCATGTTATGGCGGTGTTGCAGGCATGCCGGAGTGTGGGCCGGGATACGGGGCCGAGGAGCTCTGCTTCCTGCAGGTTCTTCCAGGTGACTGCACCCCTGCTGAGGAAGAGTGTGACGACGGGCCCCCCCGAGATGATCCGGACGCCCTGCCCCCACTGCCTCGTACCTCCAGCCACTGTTCCGCAATAGCCGGCCCCAGCGGGGGGCCTCGGCCCTCCCCCAAACCCGGCGTGGCCAGTCTACTTGTACACAAGGCCCTGAGTCCGTCTGACGCCCTTCATGTCCACAGCTACGCCAAAGGGGATTACAGCATGGCCGCAGTCCCCAGCCGGGAGGACAGGGCGGCACTGGGCATGGACAGCACCCTGTCTGATGGCGAGAAGGTCAGTGTGTGGCCTACCATCCGTGTGCCCCCACTGTGCAGTGCGTGTGCATGTCACAGGAGGTGTGTCACCATGGCTACTGCATTGCTGTCATACAAACTGATCTGCATATGAACTAGATGAAAGCTGCCCCACCTGCAGGTGGAAATCAGGGCCCTGAAACTTAACCCAAACCCTTACCCTAACCCCACAGATAAATAAGTCTGATAAATGGTTGTCATTTACCCTACATAGTCTGCTTGGTACGGGCATTCTCTGCATAGTCTAAGATTTTCTTGGGCCTGTAATATAGGGTGTTTTCAACTTTTTTCAGGAACTGAAAGCTTTTTCCGGAACCTGCAACTTTTGTCGCATTCATATGGAACCTAGTCCGATTTGTAGTTCCTCAGAGGCAGTTCCAGAACCCTTTTTAGCTCCTCCTCCAGACTAGGTACTTTTCATTAGGACACAAACTGTCGGGGTGGGATTTACAGGGATAACCTGCTCATTGGCTGACCACAAGCACCTCTAGATACCTGGGAATGCTGGGAAAAGAGACATATTAGCAGAGCAAAAACTGAGCAGGTGGAATTATTATATTTGTTCTTTTAGTTAGAATAAAGTGAATACGTTTTTTTTTTGCTTGCGTCTCCATATTTCTGCATCGGAAAATAAGCAATGCACTTCTGTCTGATATCGTCAGTGCCAGAGGTGAAACTTGCCAGCGCTTATTAGCAGAATAACATTACATCATTTTTATTCTGTGGAAAATGGAATTGATCTGCCGGCCAGATTCAATAATGAATTATAAACATGTTGCGGGTTGTATAAATAAAAAGCTGTGTCCTGTTTTGATCACAGTCAGTCCCCTCAATAACTAACAAAACATCTGGTGTGGTGGTGCAGTTTCATATGAAATTATGTGTGAAGTTTAACCTACAAACCTTTTGCGTCTCCCGTGCTTATTTAGCATAAAGGTCCGAGATTGATTGTGTGGTGTGAAAGTGACACACAGAAGTCCCCAGTCAAGCCCAGGAAATTGTAACCAGAAAACAGGTTCTTGAGCTATGATGTGAAAATGTCCCTTATTATAGATGTAGTAATGGAACACTCTGTCCACTAGGGGGCAGATGAGGCAGCAGAGAACAAGAGCATGAAGAGTAAGCGGCAGCCTCTCAGCAAGCTTCCACGCCTCCACCCACTGCTCAGGGACTGCATCAGTGACGAGGGTGAGTGCTGGCTCCTGATTGGTCATTCTGCATTGTGTGTGTGCTCATTGGATGTCCTGTCTGCACTGCTACACCATGAGCTCTCTACTTACTGATAACATTATCATCGAACTGGGTCTGTTACTGGATCAGGATGCAGGACCTGTTTTTATTACATACTTCTAGTAAGACTATCTCTTCTGAAGTTTATCAGACAAACCATACATAATCTGTTTTTTACAATTCATTTATAACCTGCTCTCAAGTTACACCCTTGCTTTGTAGTCTTATAATTCCTGCTTGCAAAAAAACAAGTTCGGTTAAGCTTTTGTGGTTTAGTGATATATTTATTTCATTTGTTTGTTTCTGATGGGATGTAAGTAGAGCTGGGCCCTTGAGCTCTTCTTTGTGTCTGAGGAATCGGATGAGCTGCTTCTCTGTGTGGTCCACAGTCGGTCATCATGGCAATTAGGGTTATAGAATGTCCGTAAATAGGTTCTAAACCACAAATGTTCCTGAGCTGTGATGAGCCAAGAGCAGCCATGTTGAACATGAATTCAGGATTCATGCTAAAAGCTTTTTGATTATTGCAGGAACTTGTTCAGACACGACGCTTACGTGAAGTATTATTCATACTTTCGGGAAATACAGACTGTCCATACTTTAATCTGTGCAGCGTAGCAGTGATTGTTCCAAGGATAAATTTATATTTGACATTAAACTTCAGCTTTTCACATTGACATATTTCTGCATGATATTTTTATGAGCTGGCTTATCTGAAAGTGCCACTTCTCGTAATGAAGTTGCGTTCTGTCTGTAAATATGAGGAGTGCTAAACAGACCCGCTCGCTGTGCACAAATATTAAAAGTATGTTTTAAAAATTAAATAAAGAAGACCTCTTTGTAATGAACGCTAGCACGTCCTGCTGCCTGAACATTTGGAGGAGCTGGAAACGGTTACTTGGAGAAATGTAATATACCGGTGGTGTGCCAAGTATCCAGTTGAAATGAGTATCCAGTACAGATAGTAATGATCGGATGGCAGTCAGCTTCAGAAAAAACACACTGACGAATATCTGTGTCTGTCTTTAGCATAGGCCCGGTCGGACGTAGGCTTGAGCAGTATTACTGTAATACAGTATTACTGAGACATTTTGGGTATACTGTAGCAAAATTAGATACCGCCCAAGCCTACCTTGACTACCCATTTACTTTACGTAGCTTGTGTCGCATTTACTATTTCTGCCTTACCTGCATTCTGTTTTCTGTGTTGTGTTCAATCACATATGCCGATTGTAATGATGCCCTGTAGCCTAACTACAGACAGCTATAGGGTTCAGTTCTAAACATATTACAGTGGTACCTTGGAACACAAACTTAATTCGTTCCAGAAGGCTGGTCGTGTTGCGATTTGGTGGAGTTACAAGTCGAAAAAAATTCAACAAGCCCGTTCGATGTCCAAGTTGGTCATGTTAAGAGGTGTTCGAGTTCCAAGGTTCTACTGTACGTTACAAAATAAATACAGCTGAACATGTTTGCACTAGTTTAAATATTGGTTGAATGTGCTGGGCCAATCCCGGAATGGCTAATCGATTTAGATAGTACCCCTGTCGCAAACTGTTACAAAATCTTACGGCCTAACAAGACTGAAGTTGCCCATACCTGGTCTTCACTGTCACGCTGCCTCCTACAGAGCTGCAGGAACAAACGACTGAAGATGAGGAGGACATCCAGGAGTCTGAGGCCTGGGCAAAGCCGCTGGCTCAGCTGTGGCAGAACCGTCCACAAAACCCCAAAGCAGAGAAGGAATACAACCAGAGAATGGGCCTTCAAGCCCCCTACTGCGCCATCTGCATGCTCTTTCAGACATATCAGCAGGTGCGGTAGAGCTTCACCCAACAGGCTGCTAAACACTAAGGCTAAATCCCTCACTGTAGACATATCAGTAGGTGTGCTATGGTCTTCTCTGTTGGCAGGTTTAGTGATGTGTGATTTTGTGTCCAGTCTGAATTTGACTGCAGCAGCCAAAAGCCCCCAGAAGCCGATGGCAAGTGGCCCAGGTCCAAACCCCTGATCCCAGAGATGTGCTTCACCAGCACCAACACCTCAGAGGTGCACATCTCCACGCCCTACATGGAGGAGGACAACACCAGTTTGCTTGTCAGGTGCTCCCAGTGCAGCATCCGCGTGCACATCAGTGAGTACCTGGTGCACTTTGGAACAGACAGGGACCACGGGGGTGGGGCCACAGTGTATGTGGGGTGGGGTGAGGTCATACCGTGCTCCTCGTGCGCATATCAGGCTCTGGCGTCTCCTGTCTGCACAGGAAGCCAGCAACAGCCCTATTTTTTTCCCAATCCCCTATGAGATAAAGAACTGTGTTTCCCCTGCGTACAGTCCTGGGCGTATTTTTTTCTAAAATATTTTTGTCCTTACTCCGGTAACTCCTCTTCATCCCTTTGATTTTGAGAGAGCCCCGTTCTAGGTCCCCGTCTCACTACATCGCCAGAGTCCCTCTGCTGAATTTCGTGTAAACAGACCTGCAGGACAGTGGTAGTGTTTTGAGGTACCCAGCAGCGGAAATGTACCTCCCCTGCGGTGTAGGAAACGGAAAGTCTTTCTGCGGCTGTAAATCAAACACGTGCAAGATGCATGTTGTGAAAAGGCACCGAAACGTATCGGACACAAAAACTGCAAAACTGCTCCTCGTCAGCTATGTTTGCTGGCACACACTGGGTTTCGGTGGAAATTTGAAGGATTTCAGCAAATACTGGAAAAGTCGCTGTGTACAATAGCAACAGGTGGCAGGCTGGCATGTTTGTAGTGCTAACAGGGTCGCCTGAGGTGCCAGTGAATGGCCTCCAGCACAGTGAGCTCCGCAGCCCTGCCCTCCAGCACAGTGAGCTCCGCAGCCCTGCCCTCCAGCACAGTGAGCTCCGCAGCCCTGCCCTCCAGCACAGTGAGCTCCNGCTCCGCAGCCCTGCCCTCCAGCACAGTGAGCTCCGCAGCCCTGCCCTCCAGCACAGTGAGCTCCGCAGCCCTGCCCTCCAGCACAGTGAGCTCCACAGCCCTGCCCTCCAGCACAGTGAGCTCCACAGCCCTGCCCTCAGTGCTGCTCAGGGAGCCCCTGCACAGTTATGAGTTGGAGCCAAACCCGCTTTAAATGAGAGATAAACCTCCTTACTAAACAACCCTGTTCTCCTGCCACCCTGAACAGCATTAGCAAGTGATGAAGATTATGCATTAGCTGGGTGCCAAAATATAAACAGGAAAAGGGAAACTGGCACCAAAAATGTCTGTGTGTGTTTGCGTGACTGCATGTGTGTGTCTGTGTTTGCGTGACTGCATGTGTGTGTCTGTGTGTGTATGTGTATTTCTGTGTGCCTGTATGTGTATCTGCCTATATGTATGTAATGTAACATGTATGTATTTAGTTGTTAGTTTGTTGGTATTTCGCCTGTTGCCCTGCCGCCGATCAGCCAGCGCGTACCTTCTCCACTCTGCAGGCTGTTACGGCGTTCCCCGTGAGAAAGTGTCCGATGACTGGAGATGTGCCCGCTGCGAGGCCAACGCCTTGACTGAGGTCAGAGCCCTGTAACCCCCCCACCCGGTTCCACACATCCCAGTCTTGTTTGTGGGCCAGCAGGGGGCGACATCACCATAGTTGTTGAGCTTGGAATGTTAATTTTCCTTTTTTTTTTTTTCCCCGTCTTGCAGGATTGCTGTTTGTGCTCGTTAAGAGGGGGAGCCTTACAGAGAGCAAACAATGACAAGTGAGTAGGTCACAGCCAGAGCAGGGCAGCACGTTAAGGAAGTCGGCTCGTCTGCTTGCTGCAAAATCCGGTTTTGTTGTTATTTTGGTGAAAGGGCAGATGAGTATTTCTATGCCAGGTGTTCATCAAAAACAGGAATTGGAATTCCAGGTCTGAAATGAAATGACGTTGCCAGGTTATCAGTGAAACTACGGCAGCCACGCAGGTCCTGAGTTAGGTCACCTTCCCCTCCCAGGTGGGTCCACGTCCTGTGTGCAGTTGCCGTCCTGGAGGCTCGCTTCCTCAACCTGGTGGAGCGCGGCCCCGTGGACCTCAGCGGGATCCCCCTGCAGAGGTTTAAGCTGGTGAGCCGGGTCCGCGGGGCAAGGGGGCAGGGGCACATGGATGTCCATCAGGAGGCAGTGGAAGGGTAGAGTTCTCGGTTGTTTTTGATTCGGGTGTAAAGGTAAGAGTTTTACTCTGTCAGCACAGCAGACAAACCTGTTTGGAGCCTGAAGCTGAGACAATGCGGAGTTCAGTCTGTGAGTCCTGAGTTTGTTTGTGCCTGTCGCAGCCGGTTTAACCCCCCTCTGCCCCCGCAGAAATGCCTGTACTGTAAGAAGCGCATGAAGCGTGCCGTCGGCTGCTGCGTTCAGTGCTCCCATGGCCGCTGCTCCACCTCCTTCCACGCCACTTGCGCTCAGGCCGCCGGCGTCCTCATGCAGCCCGACGACTGGCCCTTCGTCGTCTACGTCACCTGCTGGCGGCACAAGGGACCGGGCCACGGCGAGGTAGGCGGGCTCCGGCCGGGGACGGCCACGGCGCCGTGTGGCAGCGCCCAGTGAGTGACTGACCTGCTTGTTCTCTCCCTCGCCGTCCAGAGGAACAGGGCCAGCCTGCGGGACCTGGAGGCCGGGCAGAAGGTCATCTGTAAGCACAAGAACGGGCGCTACTACCAGTGCGAAATCGTGCAGCAGACCAAGGCCACCTTCTACGAGGTCATCTTCGATGATGGCTCCTTCAGCGACAACCTCTTCCCCGAGGACATTGTGGTGAGTCCCCCGTCACCTGCCCCCCCCTACCCAACCCCCCGATTGTAGCACTGTGTAACATGCACATGACACGCTACCACAGAACCGCGACTGCATGCAGCTGGGCCCCCCAGCAGAGGGGGATGTGGTTCAGGTGCGCTGGACCGACGGCCTGGTCTACGGAGCCAAGTTTGTGGCCGCACACGTCATCCCGATGTACCAGGTGCGTGCGGAGGGGGTTGGCGGAGTCTAGGGGAGGGGGCTGCGGTTTTGCATGATTCCTGATCGGTCGCTCGGCGCAGGTGGAGTTCGAGGACGCGTCCCAGCTGACCGCCAAACGTGACGATGTCTACACGTTGGACGAGGAGCTGCCCAAACGGGTCCAGACACGCCTGGTGAGCGAAAGCGAGGCGGCGACCCAGCTCGTGTGGGTTTAGGCGATGCCGTTCAAGCGTGACGGCAGTAATTGACACCGGGGGGGACTTAAGGCTGTAATGAGGGTGTCTGGGGGCTCTCAGCGAACCCTGACTGACATGCTGACGGGGGCTCTGGGTCTGTCCTCAGTCGGTGGCATCGGACATGCGGTTTGACGGCATCTTCACCGAGAAGGAGGTCAGGCGGGACTCCAAGAGGCAGCGGGTCATCAACTCCCGGTACCGGGGGGATTACATCGAGCCAGTGATCTACAGAGCCATCATGGAGTGACCGCAACCAGCCCCCCTGCCCCCAGCCCTCCAACCATCACAGCACTTGCGCTCACTGTACAAAACTTAACTTATGAACTGACTGAGCGGAATTCTGTGCAACACGGCCTGTGGTGGAACAATGTCCTGTCCAGCCCCCCCACCCCACCCCACCTGTAATAGGAGTGGAAGTCCACAGGCCTCAGCCTGCACTGATCAACTCATCCAGTATCGCGCTGAGGTGGTATGACTGATGCAGTTCAGCTCCCGGAAATGCCAGCTTTTCAGTGATTTAACAGACGTGGCCGAGAGGGATGCGGGAGTTCCCCTGGCGGTCCCCAGCATGCCTTGCACCGCTGAGTGGCTGTGCTCTTCCTCTGCTGGTTTCTGTCCTCTTTGGGATTCAGATGCTGCTGGGTGTCTAAGTGCCATTCTGCGAGCAGCAGCCCCCACTCAGTGACGCCGAGCCGTCATTAAAAAGGGAGCCTCCTTTGTGAAACCGGCCTTCATGAAGTGCTTTACAATCTGGCAATAGCTTGTTTTAACTTTTAATATTCAAAGTGTGATTTAGCCAACAGCCGGATCGGTTTTCTCGTGAAGATCCAGTGGGTGAAGCCCAGCCTTAATCTCCCATTTTACCCTGTACTTGGTTTATTAATCTTTACATCTAAGCTTTCCATTGAAATACTCAGTTAATTTAAGCTTATCTATAAATTATTATTATTATTATTTTTACAGTAGCTTGTTAGCATTACAATTTTGTTCAAACACAAAGTATATCTATATTTGTTATCCCGATAGGTCTGTCTGAGCTGTGAACTTTGCCATTGCTGGGTGAGTGTTATTTGGTAGGGTATCGCTTTGGTCCAGCTCTCACGCCTCATTCAGGTGCTTTTCCGGAAGGATCCGCTCTCTGGGACTGCCGCCTTCAAAGATCCCTACTGCCCGAGCGTGGTGGTCATCTTTAAATTGGCACATTTGATGACTATCTAGTGCGGCGCACCACAGCGGACACCGGGTGCTCTGCGTGACCCTGTAGCAGTTGCCATGGAAACCACGCCTGTTGCACGTCGTTCCGTGCTGGACCAAGGAGACCAGAAGCTCCGGCACTGTAGTGGCCCACATGCAGTCTGTATACAGCAGAGACTCCGAACAGCTCAGGCACAGAAAGGAATAGAAAGAACCACTTTGTGTGTGTTACATTACTGTAAAAATACATTTTCTATTTTTTTTTGCAGGTTCTGTGTTGTGGACATCCTGTGTAGTACATTCTCTCTGGGTAGAAGTATGTGTAGCGAAGCTATCGGTGGCTGTGCTGGCTTATGTCGGTGTCTGAAATGAGCGTGATCTTCGAGATCCCCACACGGGCCTCTCCACCGCACCACCTTCCAGCCCTATCCCGGTCTCTGCTGGTTCTCTGGTCCCAGTCCACTCATGGCTTCAGTAAAGCATTCGGACTGAAGCACCCGTCGCCTGACGTCTCATTTCTGTCTCTTGCCGGCCTCGTCACAGTGTGACCTGCCTGATGTTCACCTTTCGTCACTTACATGCTTGCATGCTGGCTGCTGACTTCCCACCGAAGTTCAGTAACCTTGGTTCTTATGAAACAAACTAAACAAGAAACCTTTGCATGCACATTTAAGCAAATATTTTGGGATCTTTAAACAAAAACTTTAACCTTAAAAAACTTTGCACATTTAGGCCTAAGATTGGCCCAGAACGGCCATTTTGGAGGAAATGGGGGAAAACATTAGCTGTAGAGTTTGGGGGAAATGTGCATCTAAGCTGCATTTAGTTAGTTTTAGAGCTTGATAAAACGCATGTTGATAAATATAGACACATTGGTGGCATGTATACAAGTAACATTAAGCATTTGTTTTGTTTTAAATGAATGACCACATTATGTATCCATATATATTGCATAGAATCTAAGTTGCAGATGTGCGTACTGACAAGTCAATGCATGCACTGACAGGTAACAGGTATGAAAACGCCCGTGTGTGAGTGTCACGAGCAGCATCGTCATGTCATATTTACCAAGGGAGCGAGTATTTAGAAATCACAATGATTGTTTTTCTGATGGTGATTTGTGGCTTATCACTGTCGAAGAAATTTATGACACTAAGATGGATGCCTTTGTATGTGACTTTGCTTTATGATTCAGCTCAAGAGAGCGACCACTTCGATAGTATCTCTGTGGTAATGTTCCAAAGACTTTCTGGTCAACATAACCTTTATCGGGGTACATTCACAGTTCGCACCCCCTCCTCTGAACCAGATCAAACTGGTTAGGGTAGGTGGTGCACTTTGTAACACACATATGCCTTATGCATCTTTCAAACATGTATATTTCACGTGATCAGTACGCTGCAGGCCTGGGGCGCGTGAGGGGGCGTCTATGCTTCTGCATGGCCTCTCTTTGTGGTGTTCCTGCCATGTCTGCTACATGCCCTCGATGCTCAGTCTTTGTCCCCCAGTCTGCATTTCTTGTCAATTCTAACAAGTACTATGTTCCAAAACACGAGTGCAACACTTAGCTCAAACCTCAATTCTCTTTTAGCCTTTTTGTCTTGTGACTGTCAGCTGTCTGTCAGCCAGGCGTTCTTGCAATAATATAAAAAATATGTTCCAAAGTTGATAACAAAAATATCTCTTCCTCTAGTCAATATTTCTCTTTCACCAGCCATCTTAGACTTTCGAGAGCTGTTCCAATGGCATTGTGTGAAGAATCAGCCCAGGCTGTTCAGCAAGCTCCGTGAGGAAATCATTTTTTGTTGTCCCTCTTTAAGTACTGACAGCTCTTGGAGTTTTAGTGACCACATTATACCAGCGGGAACTGGCTGACAGATCAGGGATGTCCCAGTCTATTGGTCCTTATGCTGTGGCTGGTATGAACCAACTGTCAAGACAGTATATTAAGTTTCCCAAGTGTGGATGTATAGGTAAATATTACGGTGCAAAATACAGCAATGCCCTGCCTCCCTAATGATTTCAGTGCTGTTGACTGTAATCAAACTGCTATCAGAGAATGAAACCGCTTTGGTGCCAGACGGCAGTTTCATTCCGTCAGTATTTCCACTAACGTTCCAAGAAACAGCAATGTAGGTCATTTTATATATATGCATGTGTGTGTGCATGTGTGTGTGTATGTGTGTATATATATATATATACACACACACACGGCTAATTTGCATTGCCGGCGTGGAGTAGTTAGTGGGTGGTAATGGGGAGGTCTCTTAAGCGTGCGCACATGCAAATGGGATTTAGTGGGATTTATAACCTGTACGACGTGTATCACAGTTCACCCGAGGTTTTAAACCTGATTTTTACAAACATCAAGGTTTTGTACGAACATTTCTTCTTCCACACGAATATATGAACGTTTTTTTAAATAAACGAGCTCCCTGATTGCTGAAGAAGGGTCCCGAGGCGGGAAAGGACCCTTAGACGCATGGAATTGTTAATTCAGGGAGCCGCCTGCAGGGTCCGCTACAGGCGGAAGCTCTTTCCAGAAGACAGACTCGCTGGCTCGCTCGCTCGCTCACTCACTCACTCGGGCACAGCCCTCTCCGAGCGCCCCCCGCCTCACCAGCGTTCACTCATCGTACTGATTTTCACGTAATTTTACTAAATGGCCTCTGAGCTGAAATACAACACGCTACGATATTTCCGACGACCTTCCCACGCTGCCGTGCTTCTCGTCACTGCGCTGTTTTGAGTTTACACACGGGATGCAGTTCCCCACCCCAAGCGTCGTCGGATGTGTTGACACCTACACGGCCGTCTGTCACTGCTTGTACATAAGCGAGGCCCTGACCCAGGAGGCTGTATAAGGCACCGTCCCTGCGAAGTGCCCATGTGGAGCCCAGTGCCAGATGCACCGTGTTAGAGCACTTTGAATGGAATACAGCTGTTAAAACACCGATGGAGGTTTCTAAGATTTAAACAAAGGGAGGGTAGCTGGTATCAGCTCTCGACTGGTCTGGTCCTTGGCGTAGGGCAGCAATACATTCAGCTGCTTTTATTCTCTATAAGGTGCTGTGAGAAACAAGATACCGCCACACCGCGGATGGGACTGGTCAGGGGGCCATGTGGGACCTGGAAAAGGTGCCTCACCCCCTCCCATGTGCAAATAAAAGCCAAGGTACTTGGAAGAGCAGGTGGGGTCGGGTCAGCCGCTGATTTACCCGTCTGAACACCTTATCCGTCAGAGCTGTGTGTGGCTCAGTGCCACATTTCAGGAACAGGCGGTTTCGCACGGTGCCGTGACAGAGCCCTCATCTCGTGATGTACAGCTGCGGGATGAAGGAAGACCGATTCATTTCTGCATAGCATGAGGAGCAGTGGGAAGATGGCCATGAACTCTCATCTGTCAGACATGGAATCTGGGACTGACGTGCAGAACCTGTCCACCTTGCAGCCTCGTTTCCTTCACCGCCGGTACCGCTCGTAGCCGATGTGACGCCCCCCATTTGCGGCAGAGTGAAATTGCCAGGCAAGTTGGCGCCCCATTAGAGGGTGGTGCTCTAGGCAGCTGCCTATGTCGCCTATAGGATTGACCAACCCTGTTCACCGCAATAAATGCGGCCTGCAGGTGCATGCATGCTGCAGCACGCTTACACCCCCGGTTCAGCTCAGGACAGTATATAAAGGCACTGGCCCCTTTGGCTGTGAGCTCGCTGTTCTTAGAATAGAATAGAATAGAATAGAATAAACCTTTATTATCCCATGAATGAGAAATGTAGGTGTTACAGAGCTCTTATACAAAAGTAATGTAGAACAACAAGAGCAGATAGGTCAGTTGTCTATACACACAACCAAAGTTTTAGAAATAAATAAAGATGTAATAAATAAAAATGTACAGAGATATGTTCTTGCACTCTCCTGGCAATACCGTGTACAGTTTAGTCCTCATACCTGTGCAGGCGCAGACCATCATCACGCTGTGTGCTTAACCAGAGCATATTTACGATACAGTACACATGGCTCAGTACAAATGTCAGTTTCTAGGTTCACAGTTCAATTTTTGTACTGCAGGGAAAACATAATTTGTTTTAAAATGACTTATTCTTAAAACTGCAAACACAATTGGGAATGAAAGGTTATATGACAAGAAAAACAAGAGACGCTAATTTACACACTATATATAAATGAAATGAAAACAATTTAATTGCAGTTTCATTCATTATCTGTAGTAACTGCAAATAAAAATGACACACTTTCAACATTTGTGATGGGTTGTCGCCCTGTCCTGAGTTATTCCCTGCCTTGCGTGTATAGCCTCTGAGATTGGACAAATAAGGACCAGCTTGTATAAAACATATTACAAATAGGGATGTGCATCTCCATCACTGAGGCCATGCAATACACATCTTAATGCATTGCCAACGACCCGATACATTAAAGATGCGCATGAAGCAACTACTAAGGAGCTACAATGTGTTTTACTCCTTTTGCAATGCAGTGCAATTCGACATGATTTTATTCAACAAAATGCAATTCAACCCCATAGGACACAATGCAGAAGAACATTAGAGCAGTCATGATTACTCGATTCAACTCAATTTCTTGATTTCTAAAAAGAATCAATAAAACTTTCCTTCTCGATTACTCGGCAATATGGCGGAAGGAAGATTGAGATATGGGACCGTGTCATATGTTGTGTTCATCCTGATTGTGCAGATAAATAAATCTTATTAACTGGAACATGCTGCCATAGAAAACTATTCATTTGAAAGGGAACCACTGTGCAATAAAGTGGAGTGTGCTCTTACCCAGTGTGTGGTTATGTGGGATCAAGTGTATTACAGGCAAAACATGCCTTCCGGAAAAAGGCTGACAAACAGTAAGCTTGATAATAACAGGGACTCTTCCGGTATCTTCCGCAGGAGTCTTCACTATTCCATCCTAACCACCACCCCCCCCCCCCCCCCACACCCCCCCCACCCCCAACACACACACACACACACAGCACCCTGGTTTGTTGGGCACCTTCTAGTCTGCTCATGGCAGCCTGCTCTTTGACATCCACAGGTGATGGGAGCTTCCACAAAGCAGGGCACAGGTACCAAACAGAAGTCTGTCAAACTGACAGAGGGGATTTATAACACAAAGCAGAAGCATTAAAATGGAGCAAGGCCCCTTTAAGGAGAGTGTACAGAAAAATGTATGGAAAACCCCTTAAAGTGAAGGTGCGACCTCTCCTTTCACGTACCTTCCCCAGTCCATTCAGGTGGCCAAAAAAATGCAAAAAAATCCTAAACAAGGCAACTAGACTAACCAGGGCCTGTTGGGTTTGGTTATTTGGGTTTTCTGTAGGTATGATATCAGGGCCTATGACATAACTGTGTTTTCCACTGGGTGACATAACTTTGAAATGACACCTACTGGCATATCCTAGTGACCTATTTATAGTCCTGAGTGCTTGTCCACTGTGCCTCTGGTGGAAACATCCATTTGAAC